ATAGTAGTAATAGTAATAGTAATAGTAATAGTAATAGTAATAGTAATAGTAATAGTAATAGTAATAGTAATAGTAATAGTAATAGTAATAGTAATAGTAATAGTAATAGTAATAGTAATAATAGTAATAGTAATAGTAATAGTAATAGTAATAGTAATAGTAATAGTAATAGTAATAGTAATAGTAATAGTAATAGTAATAGTAGTAGTATAATAGTAATAGAAATAGTAATAGTAATAGTAATAGTAATAGTAATAGTAATAGTAATAGTAATAGTAATAGTAATAGTAATAGTAATAGCAATAGTAATAGCAATAGTAATAGTAATAGTAATAGTAATAGTAATAGTAGTAGTAGTAGTAGGTAGTAGTAGTAGTAGTAGTAGTAGTAGTAGTAGTAGTAGTAGTAGTGATAGTAGTAGTAGTAGTAGTAGTAGTAGTAGTAGGTAGTAGTAGTAGTAGTAGTAGCAGGAGTAGTAGCAGTAGTAGTAGTAGTAGTAGTAGTAGTACCAGTCACCGTCGAAGTAACAACAGCAGTAGTTGTAGCAATAGTCAGGGTCAGCAGATGGACTGACAGGCCCCTGTTTGAAGCTATGTAGAGCCTTCTGCCGCAAGGGTGTAATGTGCAGGCTGCTGCAATGGCCGCGTCGCCGACACTTGGGTCAGAGGTCCGCGAATCGCCAGCTCCAGGGAAGGCAGCGGAGGCGGAGAAGGAATGGGCAGCGTGGTTGCCAAAAACGGCCATCACGCGCATCACCTGCTGAAATCAACTGGCAGAGGCTAGAAGTAAGACAGCACCAGCGACAAAAGGAGAAGGACAAGGGAAGAGAATGGAAGAGATGTGGGCAAATATTCGCTAACGCGCAAGGCTGTACTGCACGCTCCCGGAGGGACCAAAACTCCGTGAACGACCGCACGTACATTCCGGCGCTACGGTCACTGTGTACTCGGGTGCGCCGATGCTAATGACTCCCTCCAGCACTACGCGCAGCGCGTGGTGTACCGCAGCTTGCGGCGCCGAAACCGAAGGTTAAAGCGTGTCAGCTCAACGGTGACATCGGATGAGTTTGTAAGGAAGCCATTGACGCGCGACGAGTCCCAGTTGGTGGTGCTGCTGCGTTGGGGCTGCGTGCATTGAAAATGCGCGCTGTAACGCGCAATGCTCCTGCCTGAAATTTGCCAGGGGTCGGTCCCCGCTGCAATCTCGTCCGCGGCTTTCTCCGAGACGGGACTTGGGCCATGCGAAGACCATGGCTCCGTTCAGCGAGGTGCACAAGTACCGCCAGTCAGAGTAGCTCCTGCTCCTTTTCTTGGGTGGATAGCTCTGGGACTCTGGCGGGTCGTCTGGTGTCGGGTCGTAGGTTTGACAAGGGAAACTTCGTGCGCGTAGCCAGATTGTCTCTCACTCTCGCTCTCTCACTCTCACTCTCACTCTCTCTCTCTCTCTCTCTCGCTTTGGCGGGTGCTTCGTGTACGCAGCCGGCGTGTCGCTCATTCTCGCTCGCTCTCTCTCTCTATCCCTCTCTCTCCCTCTTCTCTCCTCGTCTGTCGCTCTCTCTCGCTCTCTCTCTCTCTCTTTCTGTCCACGCATCCCTTCTCTTGCTGTCGATGCGACAGCTAAGTGGGACGTTTGGGCACCTGGTGTCATCTCCCCTTCCGTGCGGGCACGCGGCTGCGGTGCTCGCTCCAAGATCGGATTCTCGTGAGGACGCATTCCTTTTCCTGCTTCCTCCTTGCCCTGCTCAGCATCCCTCCCTGTAATTCTCATCCTCCCCCTCCTCCTCCTCCTCCTCCTCCTCCTCCTCCTCCTCCTCTTCCTCCTCAGCTTCCGCTTCCTTGTCCTCCTACTCCTCCTTCTCATCCTCATCTCCTCCTCCTCCTCCTCCTCCTCCTCCTCCTCCTCCTCCTCCTCTTCCGCTTCCTCCTCCTCCTCCTCCTCCTCCTCCTCCTCCTCCTCCTCCTCATCATCATCATCATCATCATCATCATCATCATCATCATCATCATCATCATTACCATGATCAGCAGCAGCAGCATCATCAGAAGCAGCATCATCAGCATCAGCATGAGGAGCAGCATCAGCAACAGCAGCATCATCAGCATTATCAGTATCAGCATCATCACCAAGATCACGTTCGTCATCGTCATCGTGACCTGCATCACCAACAACAACAACAACATCATCATCAGCAGCAGCATAATCATCCTCATCAGAATCATCATCGTCATCGTCATCATAATCAGCATCCCCATCATCATCATCATCATCATCATCATCATCAGCATCATCATCATCATCACCATCATCATCATCATCATCATCATCATCATCATCATCATCATCGTCATCACCATCGAAATCATCAGCATCATCATGATCATCATATGCATCATCATCAGCATCGTCGTCATCATCATCACCAACATCAGCATCACTGTCCTCAACATCTTCACAATCAACATCATCAAGAACATCGTCGTCATCGTCATCGTCATCGTCACCAGCATCACCAACATCATCATCATCATCATCAGCAGCAGCAGCATCATCATCGTCATCATCATCAGCATCATCATGATCATCAGCATCAGCATCGTCGTCGTCGTCGCCGTCATCATCCTCATCATCATCCGCCTCCTTCTCCTCATCATCATCATCAGCAGCAGCATCATCCTCATCGGCATCAGCATCAGCATCATCACCGTCATAATCACCACCACCACCACAATCATCAGCATCACCACCACCATCACCACCATCGTCATCATCATCAGCAGCATCACCATCATCAGCATCATCAGCAGCATCATCATCCTCATCATCGTCATCACCATCACCATCATCAGCATCATCAGCATCGCCACCAGCATCGTCATCGACGTCGTCAACATCGTCATAATCATCATCATCATCATCATCATCATCATCATCATCATCATCATCATCATCATCATCATCATCATCATCATCATCATTAGCATCATTAGCATCATCATCAGCAGCGTCGTCGGCGGCGTCGTCATCGTCATCATAATCATCAGCATCGTCATCATCATCAGCATCATCAGGACCATTATCATCACCAACATCACCATCACCATCATCATTGTCATCAACATCATCACAATCAACAACATCATCATCATCATCAGCAGCAGCATCCTCCTCCCTCTCATCATCATCAGCAGCACTACGCATCATCATCAGCAGCAGCATCATCCATGTCCCTTCTCCTCCTCCTCCTCATCATCATCATCCACCTCCGCATCCGCCTCCTCATCCACATCCTCATCCTCATCCTCTCCATCCTCCTCCCTCCTCCTCCTCCTCCTCCTCCTCCTCCTCCTCCTCCTCCTCCTCCTCCTCCTCCGCCTCCTCCTCCTCCTCCTCCTCCTCCTCCTCCTCCTCCTCCTCCTCCTCCTCCTCCTCCTCCTCCTCCTCCCTCCTCCTCCTCCTCCTCCTCCTCCTCCTCCTCCTCCTCCTCCTCCTCCTCATCCTCCCCCGTAGCTATTTTGGCTCAAACCATTTGGCTCAAGCTGGCTCGAACTCCCCCTGGCGAGGCGGGCGGTGCGGGCATGATGGCTGCGGGAGGAGCCCCTGGAGGGCACCAGACGACGGCAACGTCGCGGCAGAAGCGGAGAGCCTGAGCCAAGGTCTCGTCGGACAGGCTCGTGGAGCCGCTCGACGCGGTGGCCGAGAGCGACGGCCTCGAGGAACGCGTGGCGGCTTGCGCACGCGCGCTGGCCGCCCTGCTGGCGGGCCAGAGCCCGACGGCGCTGCAGAGGCTGCGGCGCAACGTCGCCCTGCATGCGGCTCGTGTGCAAGGCAACCTGTGCAGTGCCTCAGCGGTCGCTTTGCGAAGGCGGCAAAGGGGCTTCGGCTCGGGGCTGCCGCGGGCATGAAGTGCGCAGTTGAGGAAGCCGAGTTGGGCGGATTGCATATCACCGTGGACATCTGCGTCAAGGAGCTCACAGCGCGTTGCGCCCCGCTTGGAGGTGAGCGCTAAGTTCCTGAAGCAGAGGGCCCGCGCGGATCAGCGTCCTACGCGGCTCGGAGCAGACGTTGACGCGATGCTGGAGGCACTGAAGGCGGAGCACGCTCCTGAAGACAAGCCCTGTGGCGAGGCGGGTGCCGGGGTGCACGCTGCTCGGCTTCCCACCGTGAGGGCCCATCCCCCGAGGGCAGACGGCTCCGAGGATGAGCGCGGGGCGGCGGCAGCGGACTTGCAGGCAGATGTGAGCGCTGAGTCCAGGGAAGCCGCGTGCGCCGTGGACTGCGAGGCGAACCCGCACGAGGCGCTGAAGATTGCCCTTGGAGCACCTGGCGTGGAGGTGCCGAAGGCGCACAGTGCTAGAGAGCCGACCGCCCAGCCTGCGCAGGATGAGGAGGTAGAGTGAGAGGCCAGCGACATGGCTGCGGGTCCTGCTGAGCAGCTCGACGGCCCGATGTGCGTAGAGGCCGCGAGTATCGGACTTGAGTTCAAGGAGGCAACATAGCGGTGCAGCCTGGAGGGCTCAGGCTGGTGCCCCAAAGGTCGAATGCCCGTCGAGTTCCCAGAGGCCGAAATTCGCATACGAGTGTGAATCCTGCAAGCGGGCCTACCCCAGAGACTCGCTGGCGATCAGGTGCCGCAAGATGCAAATGCGTGTGGGGGATGCTACTGGTGAAATCCGTGCTGCGACGAGGGCTGCGCAGAATCGAGGTAAACGGGGACTCCCTGTTCCCCTCGGAGGCGCACGACTTGGAGCGCAGCGCGGTCGGGGGGTCCAGGGCTAGCCAGGTCCAGCACTGGCCCCCAGCGGACCCCCTTCTTCACCTCTCTCACCACAGCGTGGCTAACAGCGAATTCCAGCGAATTCATCCTCCTCAGTCTCCTTCTTCTCCATCTCCTCCTCCTCCTCTTCCTCCTCCTCCTCGTCCTCGTCCTCCTCCTCCACTTTCCCCTCCTCTTCGGATCGTCATCCTCCTCAGCGGGGCGGAGCGACAGCTTCTGTTGCATCGAAACCATCACCAGCGCCCGCTTGGCCTGCGCGGCGGGGGAGCTCCACCATACACAGCTTCACTGCCACAGAGCGCTGCGGCTGGGGATCCTGTCGACATCGCCCAGAGGAGGTGCCCCCCGCCGTGAGCCGCTGGCGCTCACGGCCTTTCCGCGGCCCTCGCGCGGCGCTGCGGCCGAAGACCACGAGACGGCAGCCCGGGTGAACCCGAGCCACTCGCGGGCCGCTGCGCAACCGGAGATGCCCCGCACACTCTGCGCCCCAGGCCGCAGACCTCGAACGCGCGGGCCGCGCCGCGGGCCCGCCTCGAGCTCCGAGGCCACCGCCGCCCGGCGCGCACGGTCGGGCAGCTGGGCGGCGCCACGGCCGCTGCCGAAGACGAGGCTGGGACACGGACGACATCGGACAGGGATGAACCGAGGAAGTCTGAGATCCGGCGGCCCTGGAGGAGGCATCGGGCGCCGCAGCCTCCTGAGAGCGTTCCGGAACGCTCTGGGGGCGCTCCCCAGCGCTCTGGAACTGCTGATCCCTGTCCCATATAGGCCTGCCGTCCTGACGAGGGGAAGTGAGAGGAACAGGCGGGGGTGGACGCGGAGGGAGGAACAGGAGGATAGCTGGACCCTGAAAATCCACCACCGCGCCGCTGCCTACCTCGGGCGTTGGCAGAACTGGGTTTAGTGGAACCTGCTTTACGGACGAGTACCGGGGGGCGCCCCCCCCCCGCCCCGTTCCGCCAACCGGACCTGCCGTCGCCCGAAAATCACCAGCTACGGCAAACCTGGTTTGGTGAATCTGGCCAATTGAGGGGGCCCCAGGGCCCTATACCACTAACCGGGTCCCCTTACCCGGGGTCCTGGCTACAGTCAAAGACCCTAATAAGGACGCGCGGGAAGGACGCAAGACCCTTGGAAGCCGATGTTGGGATTTTTTGGGCGGCGGACGACGAAAACCTCAAGGACGCAAGAGCAAGGAAGAGCAAGGACGCAGGGGTACCCTGAGCAAAGTCGCGCGTCCTTTCTGGGTTTTTTGACTGTATACCCGACTGCCGCACCCCAGGGAGCCTGGGGAGCCCCGCCGCGCGGGTGCGCGCGGCGCGCCCGGCGCCTGCCCGGCGCGCGCCTGGCGGCGCGCCCGGCGCGGTGGGCGGCGCGCGCCTCGGCGTGCGCGGGAGCCCGCCAGCCGAGCCCGCTTGCGGCGGCGCGCGGGCGGGGGCGGCGCGCGGGCGGGGCTCGGATGTCGCCACGCGCTCGGCGGGTTTTCCGAGCCCTGCCCTCCTCGCCGCCCACCGAGCTGCCCGAGGCGTTGATCGCGGCGAGGGCGGGGTTCGGACGGAGGTCGCCGCCGAGGCGCTCCGCGCGGGGAAGCAGCGGAGAAGCGCCCCGCATCGACGGAATCGCGCCCAGGGGCCCGGCCTGCGAGGCCGTGGATGCGGCCATGGTTGAGCGGCGCGCAGAAGGGGGGGCAGGGAGAGGGGGTAAGGCTTCTTAGAAGGAGGCTGCTCCTTAGAAGGCGCCTGCCCAACATGTATAGATCAGGCCCGCGCCTTCCAAGAAGCAGGGGCCTCTCTAAGAAGCCTTCACCCCTACCCCCTATGCCCCCGTCTGCGCGTGGCCCATCACTGGCGCGGGCCGCCGAGTCGTCCGTCACCGTGCGGCCACCGAGGGCAGGACCAGCCGGGGCAAAACCCGAGGAGTTCCGAGGAGCTCGAAAGCGATGCCGACGAGGGGTGGCGAACGGCCGTCCCCGCTGCCGCGGCGGCCACACCGCGCGCCGCAGCTCCTCGGTCTCCCTCTCTCGGCGCTGTCGCGGGACTCGCAGGCCAAGCCACGCCGCAGGAAGGAGGCTGGAGACCGGAAAGGGTGTACGGCAGGGATCGACCTTTGCCTTTGCTGCAAGACGAGATCGAAACGAAAACGGCCCACGAAATCGCCAAGACACCGTTTAGACAGACCCTTGATGTGCAGCCCCTACACGGGGCAAGGCGGTGGCGCCAGGACGCCAGCAGGGATCGCGGCTGGCTCAATGACAGATTCCCCGTGGGCGTGTGGCTGTTGGTCTTCCTGCGCCGACGGGGGAGAGGGGAGCAGGGAACGCAAGTACAGCGGGAATGTGAAGGGGGGAGAGGGGAGCAGGAAAAGGCAATCCGAAAGTGCCTCGCAGCGCGTGTTCCCATCAAGAGGAGCTCATAGGACGCACCAGGACATAACTCCCCCGCTCCCCCAAAACTCAAACTCGGCACGCCCGGGGAAAACTGCGGTCGAAGTGCAACGCATCGGGCCCACCGCCAACTATTGAACACTGGGGGGGAGGGGGAGGCGTCGACCGCTACTTCTCCAGGGCCTGTAGTACTACGTGTCCTCCTGAAAGGTGCGCCTCCCACCCGAATGTGTATATATATATATATATATATATATCAACATATTGTATGATCTAGCGTTCCGAGCGGTACGGCCAGAAAGCGCCCGCCGCGGGGCATATACCATACTATTTCTCGGCGCGCGCGTCGCCCCCCTTTGGGGGCGACGCACATATAGTATTACTATGTTCGGGCGGCGCCGAGCTTACTCTGCATCCAGGTGGAAGGCCAAGTGCTACCTGGACGCCGACGACAGAGCATGCTCCCAAAAGGAGCGACAGGGGAGAACTTGGAAACTGGAGGAGTGGGTGAGCCTGTGGGTGAGTCAGTGTGTGTGAGTGAGTGAGTGAGTGAGTGAGTGAGTGAGTGATTGAGTGAGTGAGTGAGTGAGTGAGTGAGTGAGTGAGTGAGTGAGTGAGTGAGTGAGTGAGTGAGTGAGTGAGTGAGTGAGTGAGTGAGTGAGTGAGTGAAAGAAAGAGTGCGTGGGTGAGTGAGACCGGTTGCGATGTGAACCGGAATGCACAGACTTCGAGCGCTTGCGAGCGAGCTTACCGGCCCTGCTGAGACCCTTCGGATCGGGCTCGGGTGCTCGCCTCGGTCCGCACTCGGCACACCAGGCCACTATTGATCAAAATGTTTCATCACACCACTGCTGTGCCCGCCTCGGCAGGGAAGGGGGGAGGGAGGATTTTGGCATCAACCGTCTGCCAAGCCATGCAACAAGCGGGACGGCGCCTCCTCCCTGAGGGCTGTGGCTGCTCGCTGGGGTGGCGCTCGAAGCTCGTTTCATCCTCTGCCACTTCCGCCACCAAAAAGCCACAGAAGGCCACAAAAATGCGCAGTACTGGGGTGGCCCTCGAGGTCTGTTTCATCCTCTGCCGCAGGAGGAAGGAGGAGGAGGGAGGGAGGAGGGCGGAGGGAGGGAGGAAGGGAGGGAGGGGAAAGAGGAGGAGGGAGGAGGAGGAGGGAGGGAGGGAGGGAAGGGGAGGAGGGCAGGGGAAAGGTGCGCGCTCGCTGGGGCTGCCGCGGCCCGCCTGCGCCTCTTGGGAACGCGGCCACGTAGCGCTGCTCCCGGCAGGACACGATGCCCACCCTGGAGCCGTACCAGATGTCCGCGGGAGCCTGCCAAAGCAGACCGAGCCCCGCCCCCCCCCCCTCCCTGAGATCCGGACGTCGTGGCAAACAACCCCCCTCCTCCTCCTCCCTCCTCCTCCCTCCTTCCTCCTCCTCCTCCTCCTCCTTTTCCTACTCCTCCTCCTCCGCCTCCTCCTCCTCCTCCTCCTCCACCCTCCTCCTCCTCCTCCTCCTCCTCCTCCTCCTCCTCCTCCTCCTCGTCCTCCGCCTCCTCCTCCGCCCTCCTCCTCCTCCTCCTCCTCCTCCTCCTCCTCCTCCTCCTCCTCCTCCTCCTCCTCCTCCTCCTCCTCCTCCTCCTCCATCTTTGCTTGGAAATCAATCCTCCTTGTCGGACCAGGCGGCAGGCGGACCAGGCATGTCGCCTAACACGCCCTCACAATTCATGATCCTTACGACTGAAATGTGCAGACATGTCACAGATGGAGGGCGGCTGGTTCTCAAAATGTGGCTACCGCCTTCGCGCCGCGCACATTGGCATTCAAAATTTGCAGCAACTTCACAGATGGAGGGCAGGTCCTTTTCAAAATGTGGTTGTCGCCTGGGCGCCGCGAACATTCGTCTTGAAAGTTCCCAGCAAATTCGCGAAATCGTGTTGAAATCCCAAGAATTGTGTTCTGGCACCATGTAGGACTGTCAAAGACGCAGCAGACACGTTGATCCATGGTGTTAGTTCACGAACGATGAAATCACGTATTCAATATTGTCAGGGCGCACGAGGCACATTGATCCACGGCGTTGACATTCAAAGAAGTGTTGGCACGATTGAGAATTCTCATAGGGTTGCCTTCTAACCAGCCAGTACCCGCAATAAGGGATCCATAAAAAGGGAACTTGGAAGAAGGGTGGATTGCAACATCGCTGATGTGCCTTGGATTTACACTGGTCCGCATCCTCTTCCTCCTCCTCCTCCGCCTCCTCCTCTTCGTCCTCCTCCCTACCTCCTCCTCCTCCCATCAACTGCCCTAAACGGGCGCTCCACTTGAGAAGTCCCGCCAAATTGCGCCCCCAAAGGCCCGTGACATGACCCTGGCCGACCGTCCCTTGGGAGGCGCGGTCGCCTCGACAGCGAGCACGCGGGGATGCCGAAGGTCTGACGAGAAGCGGGTCCACGAATGGACCCGTCCCAGACTCGGCGGCGAGCACGGGGGGGAAGTGAAAAGGGGCGGGCCTTCGCAGAGGGCTGGAAAGCCCCCAGGCCTCCTGAGAAATTTTCGAAGCCTTCCCCGAAGACACAGAAAACCAATCCGACGGGCAAGAGGAGGAGGAGGAGGAGAGGGAGAAAGAAAGGAGCAGGATGGCACGAGGAGGAGGGGGAGGAGGAGGAGCAGCAACAGCAGCATCCCCGCGGCCTGCGCCACCCCGGCTGCGGCGCAGCCCAGCAGGCCCGCGCCGCCGCTCTGGGCGCCCGGCAGCGCCGCGAACGAGCGCGGCGCGGGCGAGAAGGGCACCCGCGGCGCCGGGGACACGGCCACGGCCATGCGGGAAGGGGGGGAGGGGGGAGGGAGGGGGA